AGGGAAGCTGGCTAATTAGACATGGGGCCAGCGGTTGCACAAGGAATTTGAGAAGTAGAGCCATGCAAATTATCCACAGTAATCTAACAGAAATCAGACACACCTGACACTAACCCACACGATCAGCAGCCTGGAGACTTCGCACAGGGGCACACATCCTGGCGGGTCTATCGGTTCTGAGACACCCTGCAGCACACGCAATAATTTCTGTGCACAAATAACCAGGAATCACAAAAACAGGTTCAGGTACAAGCACTCTTTCAGAAGCAAGGAAAAAACTAAGACATTGTAGAACAGTTCACCCAAAATGACTAAAAGGGAGACAGGGTTAAGATTGAGACGTTAAGTCCTAATTTTCTTCTCCATAATTTTGGCATTTGCCCCATTTTCTATGATGCATCTATTTAAATATACATATTTGTTATGCATATTTGATACACAAAAAAGCGCATATAAGATATGAACGTCACCAATAAAGGCTTCTCTCCTTAACCCACCCCTGGTCCATCCCCATCACACCCAACGTAACAACTATTCCAGGTTTTGTCTCATTTCCTTTTAATGTTTATCACACGTGCACACGTGTGTGCACACGCACACACACGCACACACATGCACGCACACACACGTATGCAGCTCTACTTTCTCATCACTGTTTTCTATCTCATGATTTTCTGCTCTTACCTTGATTCCCCTTTTTCTTACTTGGGGCTTATTCTGTGGTTCTTTTTCTAGTTCTCTGTCCCAAGTACCCAAAGTGGAAGGTTTGGGGTATACGGTTTACTTACGCTCAGAAACACGTGTCGCACTTAAAGGGGCAGATCTGGTGTTTAATTTAGTATTTCTATTACTTGCAAAATCTATCTTTCCATTGTAACTCATTACTTGGGGTTTTGACTCTCTGAAGCACTATTTTTCAGGTTCCACACTTTGTAGCTCACATGTCATTGTATGTATACATAATTCTGAGTCTTTCCTGACCATATATTTGATTCAGTCATTGCAGCAAGTGACTAAACGTACTTTCCTAACCAAGACAAAATACGGCGTCATTACCCATCAAGGCAGTGAGCAGCCAAGTTCCTTTTCTATGAAAGCAAGTGAACTATAGTAACTTGGTCAGTGTTTATCCGAAAATGGACACATGGGTGTACTTGGGGTTCCTTCGGTCACGGAAAAGTCAGGCTCTCCTGACATGTTAGGAAACAACGCTAATTCCCAATTAATCCTTAAAAACTGGAAAGTAATCAGATTAAATGAATTATTTGTTTTTATTCATTCAAACCAGATGATGATGATAATAAAAATCTGGTACTAATTACGTGAAAATGGGACTTGGAGTAACATATCTTCTTTTTCTGGCACTTTTAAGAAACCAAGGGTCTAGTATTTAGGAGGGGAAGGCACTCTCACTCGGATATGTTGCAACCTAACCAGGTCAGGGAGATTAGGCAGGACAAGAAGGTTCCTCCCTGACATCAGCAAGGATAACAAGGGGGCCCTGGCCAACCGTATGCAATGGCCAGCTTTGATGCACTAAGCCAGTTGGCACGCTGACGGCTGATCCCCGGGTCAGAGCCACAGGGACGGACCGCAGGGTGGTCTGCAGCTGTGAGAGTGAGCTCTGGTCGGAACGGGGTTGGGTGGGCAGCTACGAGAGCAAAGTAAGAGAAATGCACGGGGGGCGCGGGGACACAAACTCTGCTCGACCTACAGGCCTGTGGGGAACCCCAACTCCCTGGCACCCTTTGGGGATCAAAGTCAATACAGCCTGCCTTTGGCTGTCATGGCATCTAAGGCCTGAGGCTTTGCTCTTCTTGGAGAAAGACGTTGTAAACAAAACGTCCGGGAGGACATTAACGGTCATTTCCTACTTGCTTCGGTCCAGGGAAGCCTGCAAGACACAGCCGGGCCCGTGCTGCAGCCTCACTCCCACGTGGAATCCAAAGAACAAAATAAACTCAAGAACAAAACCGATCCAGAGACAGAGAAGCAGGAACAGGCTGCCGAATCTCAGAGGGAAGGCGGGAGGGTGGGGAGAGATCAGCCAATGAAAGGTATGCGTGTATGCGTGTATACATGGCCTGGACACAGAGTGTGTGGGGAGGGCCTGGGCCCGGGCGGCTCCTCTGACATGTGGGAGGAAACTAGCCGAGCCTGAGGGGTGCTGCCCGTACGCCTCTTTTTAATTGTGATAAAATACACTCAGCGCTGACCAGCTTAACCACTGGGCAGTTCAGCCACATTACGTCCATTCACAGCGTTGTGCAACCATCCCCACCATCCGCCTCCAGAGCTTTCATCTTCCCAAACAGAAGCCCTGTCCCCAGTGACTCCCCCCCCACCCGCCCCCTATCCATGCAGCCACCCTCTACCCTCTCTGTGG